AGTTCACTAGTTGATGTTGGCGATTTTTTGAGGGCTCAGTGACCCAGAGTTGAGTAGTTACCAGGTTCCAGCCTTTGACAATGAAACAATGTTGGGGCATGGGACGGTGGATAGTGTAAGCTTGGGGACATTTTTGTGTCCGTTGTATCATGCTTTGCCGCTTATTTGATTACTATTAAACTGGAGCAGCAGACATTGCCGGGTGCAATACATGCTCAATATACGAATCCTGGAAGATTAGAAAATAAGAAGGTCACCCTTACCTGCACATGTCTCCGACTTTCCTACAATGACCTATGATTAATGATTCTCGACAGAATCCGAAATGTCGGGAAAATAAAACCCTCGTTCCAGTGATCGCATCTTCTTCTTCTGAACTGTTTCCTGGAACTCGCATATTCCCCTCTATTGGCAATAAGAAGACTCTTGTGACACCAGAAATCAGTTATACACCGGATTTAAAGGTTGAGCAGACGTAATTCTTGAATGTCTCATGCATTTAAGTAAGATTCCTAGTTCGAAAAGAGACCTGTTGCCAGCGTGGCTATATACAGACGATTAAAAAGACAACAAACCTGCTAGTTTACCGCTGCGTTTGTGGACCTCGCAACTTCCTCACCAGCATCATTATGCAATGGTTACCATAATTTAGGGATTTTGCCTGAAAATATATTTTTGCTAAAACTCAATTTACGTTTAATTTAATAGCACAAATAGATGTTAAACCACTTGATGAGGTTAGAAGTTTGCTTCCTGCTCAATTACCTGAAAATTTCCTGTTGCTAAAACTTCCCTCAGACCTCCACTCATATTGCTTTAATTCAACAAAAAGAAGCCAGCGTGACCCTTTAAATTTGTCATAATCAAACGGAAATGGAAAGAAGACGGTCTTGCACAGAACAGGATGTGTAGATGCATAAGAACCCTTAACGGAACTCTCCTCTAATATCCGATTTCTACGTGTAAAAAAATACCTGTGAAATTAGTACGCAGAAAGCTGTAAGTGGTTGCCCGTACCACAAACTATTTTGTAACATTATATTTAGATTTAGTGTTTTAAAGCTGTTTCAAATCTGGCCCGAACTCTGACGAAATTGGTTCAACAGTGATGAAGTGGGAGACAAAGTGCGGTATATAAAAAACGCTTCTTAACGCTTTTAATACTGTTCGCCTATTCAGCAGAAGGTATTTTCAACCAATTTGATGCTGGAGAGAAGAAAAAGTACTTTGAATGTCATTAATTCATTGAATACCAAATGTCCTTTTTGCTTCTGCTGTATATTCTGGGAATTAGATATACATAATGATCAAACCGTCATAAAAATTCAGGGTTTCCTCCAGGTTGTCTTTTACAGTGGAACCGCGGTTAACGAGTTTAATCCGTTCCAGCACCGAGCTCGTCTTGCGAAACGTAGCCAATCAGACTGCGTCAGTTCACTGATTGACTGCAGGCGACCGAGGACCCACGACCTAAGAGCAGGACTCAACGGTTGACATAGGCACACACGCATATGCACTGGCAATTGAGCATAAGCTCGTCAAGCGAAAGGACGTTTTTTAGTGGCTCGCTCGTTACCTGAAGGGCTTGTAGATGGAGCTGTTCTTCACCAAACGCTCCACTGTACTCCAACTTTTTAAATCTAGACGACTTCTTTTAAAAACCAATGTACAAACCGGGGAAGGGAAGTTTTGTTGACCAATTCACAAGTTTACAGTCCGAAAGTAAGAGGGCAAGCAGTAGAATGACCCTCGTAATATTAAGTAAAGTGGTAGAGGCCGTTCGGATTTACAGATTCCCCTTGAAATATTCATAGTAATTTGGCCAAAAAAGATCTTAACTTGTAGGTATATGCAAAAAATCATTCTGACAGTGCGCTTCTGAAGCAAAAGGAACGGGCAGTAAAACATGCATACACAAGGGGGTTTACCTATGTACATGTACTGCCAAGGGGCCAGAGGCGGCTCAAATAGATAAAAAGAGACAGAAAAAACTGTCCGGCAACAAGATAAGTTGTTTGTACATGAGAATTAATGTGTCAACGTTTGAGTTTTAGGGAAAGGGGAAGGGAGGGTATTTTAAAAGCTGCTGGATACTGTGTGTGAGTTGGTTCGTCTACTCTTGTGTGATTAATGCAAAATGTCAGAGTTTTGTTTTCAAGCAGTCTTCTACACTTGGCTACACAGCCGATCATCCGTCTCCAGTCTGACGTTCGAGGCGGTAGTGATGAAGCCCTGTGGACTTAGCTGGCTCTCGTAGGCGGCCATATTGGCGTCCGAGTGGTTAATATCCTTACTGCCGTTGAAGAGTGTGAAGTTGGAGATGCTGAGTTTTCGCACATTCGACGGCCGCTGGCTGCCACTGCCTGTGGTGCAGACTCCACTGTCACTGCTGCCGTTATTCGTGTCACTGACGGCATTAGTGCAAAACGTTTCATCCCCAGAGGTCGCCTTTGACTGCTCCTTGAAGGTGACCCTCGGTGGCCCCATCCTCCTCGACGAGGCCGGCGTCCTGACCTGGCGTCCGTGCCCATCACCAGTGTCCGGGCTGCCACTGCTAGCTCGACCGTTCACTAGACTGGCATAAG